TTATCCAGCCGAACGCCATATTACGTTACCAACGTTCCTAACTGGTAGCAAGTATTAATTCGTAATGAGGGGTTTAAACGAATTCGAAAATAATAGTAATAATAATATGTCACCGTACATTTAATCATCATAGATCTTTCTCATAAAAAGTAAAAATAGTAAAAATAAAATACTTTATCTTCTCCATTGTTTTTTTCCATTATGCATAAAATTTAAAATTGTTGTTGGATAAAGTAGGATTGTTGAATTTATATATAAATATGTATCAGATATGCCACAAAAAAAAAATGTAAGGATATTTTGACAGTCGGAAAATCTTTTTTCGTTATCAATACATAAAAACATGACGTAAATAATGAATTGAATTTTAGATATTGTGATTGAAACTGAGCAATTAGAATTGAAAATTGAAATGACTTGAAATGTAAAAAAGTAAATAAAATAAAAAAAAACCCAACGCAAAACATGTAAAAAACAACTTCTTAATTTAGGATGATTCAAAATTTTAAGTTTAATCGCGCAATTATTAAAAACGCGTGTTTAAATTTCAACTGCGGAGAATTATCATCCTATTATAGCCTTATAGTTATTAAATCTTATTAGCCTTATTAGCTTTATAACTAGAATTTTCTTTACCCCCAAGTCTTTGTATTCTTTGTTTTCTTTGTGGCTTTCTTTTTTTCCATTGTTTTTGACATTGTTTTAAACATAATGTGGCTAAGTGGCTGCCAAGACAACCCATTATACTATCAAACAATTCTCTAACGCTTACCAAATACATATTGCATTCCCTCGATTCTAGAACAAAAACTTATCCATTGTTAAAATCCATTGTGTGAGTGTTAATAAAAGGTGATAAAAAAAAAAAAAGGTTCGGAAACAATCATGATTTCCGGTTTACACGTGTAAAAAATTTCAAAATTAACAGCTAATATCCGAGTTATGCAATTATTGCATATTAAATCATTCTAATAACTTGATTTGTAAAATCAAGAATAATGATTATGAACCAACCTAATATCATGTGTAATTATGTTGATTGTGATTGAGAGTTTGAGACTTCTTAATATTGTGAATTGTGATTTTCTTAATATTGTGATTAAATTGATACCAAATAATATTTGGGATATTTGTATACTTGTATATCAGATATAAAAAAAGTAAATAATATTTGGGATATTTGTATATATCAGATATAAAAAAGCAAAAGCCACTTATTTTTTTTTTTTTATTTTTTTTTTATTTTTTCGACCATGTAAATTATGTAACACATATTCGATACCTTGGGACTGTAACTAATAATGATCAACCTAAAAAATTTTCCCGCCAATTTTCTTCTTTGAAATCTATTGAGGTATAAAAAAAAAAGGGTTTCATAACACGAGAAGTAAATGAAACACAACAGATCAATAAAAAATATTTCGCTTGTAAGACGACTATGTAAGACTAAAATCTTTAAATATGAATAACAATCAAAGAAATTTATAATTATTTATATTGGAATGAAAGAAATGTAGAATTTAATGTGTTGTACCTTGTGTATTTGCTTGTGATTTTTTCTAAAAAGAGTTTTAATAAAGGATTTATTGAAATTGGTTATAAAAAAAAGTTTTGAATCAAAAAGATGAAAGAAAACCATCAAACATGAAACAAAAGATAAATTATGTACAACGAGTCACAATAAATTGGGCATGATTCTACAAATCGAGTGTTATTGAGTAGTGAGTAACTGAGTAACTGAGTAACTGAGTATTAATTAATCATAATAATAATTAGCTTAATTTAACTTAAAATTTTTTAACTTATTTTAACTAATTTTAACTTTATTTAACTTTTATTTATCCATGTTTAACTTTAACTTTGTTTAACTTTTGTTTATTTTTTTTTAACTTATGATCAATAGTAAGCGAAAGATTATTACTTATTATTAATAATGTGCGTTTTTGTACGTTTTTGTACGTTTTTGTACGTTTTTGAACTTGTTAAAAAATTTACTATCTTCTTTTAAGGTAAAATTACATTGCGTGATAATGTGGAGAAAATAATTATTAAATTAATAAATAAAGCCACTTTTCACTTTTCATATCGAAAAAACGTGGTTTCCAATAGTTTAATAATAAGCGAAAGATGTTTTTCACGCGAATTATTTGATGATGTCGTAATATGGAACATTATTCCCATATAGTTTAGTGTATTTTATCGTACGATAGATATATAAAATCTCTTAAAAATATTATAATTCATAAATAAATAAGAGAAACTTGTTTTTTTAGGTAATCATACAAGTTTTTAAATGATATTAATAATCCAATATGACCATATTCAAATTATTTGTTAAAAAACAAAAAAACCGTGTAAACAAATTTGCCGAAAGTTTTAAACCTGCTCAGCCTGTCATCACATCTCTTTTTTTAGATTATCGGAATTTTATTTTTATCTGAATTTTATAAAATAAACTTTTTTCTAATCATTGACCACATATTAACTCTTTCTACCTTTCTAAACAACGTTTGATTGATTTGATTGATTCGTTATAAAAAAAAAAAAAAAAAACTTTATACTGTAATACAGTTATACAGTCAGTTATACTGCGTATGCTTATGCAATAACATTTGAATTTACTTATCAACTACAATCACGTTTTCTATCTAGCTTTGGTATTTTTAAATAAAATCATTATATATGCTTATAAAGCAACGTGGTTTAAAAACTTTTCCGGTAAAAAAAAATATGATATTTTGACTTATTCTTGCTATATTATATTTGGTTAAATATTAGCTTAAATGTAATGTGATGCCGAATTTTTAGATTCTTTGGAGTTTGGACGTTCTGAACATTTTTGAAACTTTTTANATTAATAATCCAATATGACCATATTCAAATTATTTGTTAAAAAACAAAAAAACCGTGTAAACAAATTTGCCGAAAGTTTTAAACCTGCTCAGCCTGTCATCACATCTCTTTTTTTAGATTATCGGAATTTTATTTTTATCTGAATTTTATAAAATAAACTTTTTTCTAATCATTGACCACATATTAACTCTTTCTACCTTTCTAAACAACGTTTTTTTTTTTTTTTTTTTTGGGGACAAAAAAAATTTGTATATACTATATACTGTAATACAGTTATACAGTCAGTTATACTGCGTATGCTTATGCAATAACATTTGAATTTACTTATCAACTACAATCACGTTTTCTATCTAGCTTTGGTATTTTTAAATAAAATCATTATATATGCTTATAAAGCAACGTGGTTTAAAAACTTTTCCGGTAAAAAAAAATATGATATTTTGACTTATTCTTGCTATATTATATTTGGTTAAATATTAGCTTAAATGTAATGTGATGCCGAATTTTTAGATTCTTTGGAGTTTGGACGTTCTGAACATTTTTGAAACTTTTTAGATTTTTGGACCTAAAATTCTTTATTTAACTTGTCAAAGATGATTCTATCTTATTATATGCATTGCATTGCATTTTTTTGTGGGGAAAGAATGATTTTTTACATTTTTCCCGCTATTTGTAATCGATTAAATTACAATTCGTTCATATCACACTTACTAACTGGTTTTGTTCGCTTTAGCCACCAAGGTAAAAGAAATTAATCTTTTGAATTTATTGGCCCGATTATGTATTCACTGACTCAATGTAATCACATGATAATATTGGATAATGGGGTTTATGTAAATTGGGGGGAGTATAAGATTGTATCATTTAAATGAAGATTGAAGAGCAAGAAAAATTTGCGTTTTTAATTAACGAGATTAAAGTTCAAATAAAAGATATAATATTTAGACGGATAAATTAATATTTAGAGAGCGATACATATTTAAAAATTAGTTACCTTTTTTTTTATAAAATCTGGGGCAAAATTTTTGTCATTTAAATTTTCAAGTAACAGTATGTCGAAGTGTTTTATTTGTGCTATCATTCACTCAGAGATTTTATGAATTATTTAAATCTTAAAATAACTTTACTAGGAACGGTTAAAAAAAAATTGGTAATGGCATAATAATTATTTAATTTCAATGATTAGAAATGATTAGAAATGATTTTGATATGAAATTTTTTGAGGTTAGTAATTTCATCCATTTGGAAATTGGTTTGAATCATTTAAATCTTAATCTAATTTTATTATAACTTTACTAGATGCGGTTTGGTAATGGCATAATAATTATTCCATAACTTTTAATTTCAATGATTTTGATTACTGAATTTGTCATTATTTGTTTATATTCATTATTTTATTAGATATCCTATCAAATGACATGAAATAAATTTATGGTTTAAGGTTATACGAATTCAATATTCGTTGATTCCTGTATATCATCGGTATTTTATATAATCACTCTTTGCTAATGATTCGCATAATGTTTTATTAAATTTTTCAACCAATTCATGGATGATAACATGGTTTATATATATTTAGGATAGATTTAAAGCCACAATTATCTATTAAGGATAAGCCTTTTCCATAAAAATATGATAATGTAAATTTTGGTAGGTATTTATTTTCTTCACATGATTTTTTCCTTATCAGAACGAAATGAGACTATTTTAAAGTCCAAGTTGTATTGTCAAAAAACTTGCTTTAATTAATTCCTTATCAATACTTACTTTAAATTACGGTAAATTTCAAATAAAACCTGATTGGTTCTTTTAACACGTAGAATATCGAAGAAACTGCATTTACATCTAGGAAATATACTTTAAATGCTATACATTTCCACAAATGTTTTATTTTAACATGGATTGAACGCGTAAAACATTATACATACAGTATATCATATATCATATATATCTCATAGTATCTATATCTAATATATCTAATATACACGTAATACGATAAATATGACACTAAAAAACAACTAACACCATGATATTAAAAAATTCAGTTTAATTAAATACAAAAAAATACCTACCTAAATTGTTACATGAATATTAAAAATAATAATAAATAATAATAAAATTATTGAGAAAAGTCCAGTAGTAAACTCTTAACAAGCATCTTGTATCGAATAATTTAAATTATACCGAATTTCAAAATTATTTGCCATTCTAGCTCGTTTAGATTGAATTACAACAACAGGTATCGGTACTAATTCACTAATTGATGCTATTAATGTGAGAATTATATAAGGAATTACAGGTCGTTTAATTGGTGGTATAAACCACAAAATTCCTAAAAATAATGAATGATTCACTGTTAAAAATAAAACTAAATCAATATTATCATTTAATTTCTTACCTGATATTCCATATTGTGCTAAACTTCCAATATTCCATATAAGAATAATTGATAATAATTTTGTGGGTGTACAATTTAAAGAAAAATCCAAAGTATCATAAACATACCATTTATAATCTTTTGTTACGCTAATTTGAATTTTTTGTATTTCACTATATCTTGATGAATACGAATTTCTAGTTGGTATTTCCCCTCTTCTATCTGCCCACCATATTTTAATTGCTCTCGGTAAATTTCTTATTCTTTTTGGATATCCAACTATTGTTAAAAATGTAAATTCTAAATTTATTGTCTAAAAATTGGATTTTTTTTTAAAAAAATAATCAATTTTAATAATAGAGAGAGAATGAGAATGAAAATCATATTTATACTGTATGATGATTACCTGAATTAATATTTCTAACCAAAAATTTCTCTCTTTTTTCTCATATATATATATAATATTAACCAAAATTAAAGAATAAAGAGTTAAAGCCAAAATTAATCTAAAGTATGACATCAATTCAATTATTCTTGATAATTTTTTATAAATATAATTAATAAAATTTTTAAAAGTTTTTCCAAGTCTCGTAAAAAACCTTTCATCATTATCATCATCATTTTGAAATTTTACTGATCTTGTTTGTTTATTCTCTTTATTATTGTTATTTATACTACGAGAAGAAACGTTGGCAATCGATGAGAGATCTTTTTTAGATGGTGATGATGGAGGTGATGGTGTTGTTGATGGTGTTGTTTTATACGGATTATCAATTGTTGATGGTGAATTTATCTTATACTTTTTTTCAAAACTTTCGTTATTATTTGATGATGATAAATCCGCATAATTTGGAGCATGAAGTTTATATGTTGTTGAAGTTGCTGTAGGTGGTAATTCTGACATTTCTTTATTCTTTTTTTTTTTCAAAAAGAATTATATATATACATATATTTTATATATATATATTCACGTATATCAATTTAATATTTATTTCTTTGATAAAACTTTTCCAAAAAAAATCATTCTAAAACAAATTCGAAGTTTTTTTTTTTTAGTCAGCTTTTTTTTTTTTTAAAAAAAAAAAAAGAGGACAAAAAAGCAACATCGGTTACTACGATATCCCGGATTTTCCGTCAAGTTTATGGCTTAGCAAAATCCAATTATTTTCATTCAATAAATAATCAACAATCCTCCTTTTGTTAAAAACAACGGCTATCAAAGAAAAAAGCCGCAATTTTCTTATATTATACTACTTAAAGAAATCAAAAAACGGGAATCATCGATTGTAGATATTTTTTCTTTGAAAAAACTACGCCCCCAATCGTAACAAAATTTTTTTAAAAGCGTGTAACTGTTAACTAGTATAGATTTGTTTATCACGTGATATACATTTTGATCATTTTGATTAAGTATTTCGGTGAATTTTATCCAAAAAAAAATTTTAGATAAATACATTACCAAAGGTCAAAAGAAATCTTAATAATGTTTTTAATAAAGTATTAAAAAAATATTAAAAATGTTTCTTTTAGTAATGAAAAATCCTATTTAATTATACTGATATTTCTCTTGTTCTTTTTTACTAATTTCAAATATAAAATTTATTTAATTACTTTTAGATCAATTCATTAAAATATTAATATTGTCAGTAAAGAACGTCTTTACCTTTAAATGGTATTGACTTTTTAATAATATAATATTAGTAAATTAAAGTTAAAATTAAGTAGAAATATTTCAGATTTTCTCCTAAAAAACTAAATTTATTCTAAAATCCAAACTTATTTTGAAATCTAAATATATATACTACTTGAACAAAAGTAATAGACTTAAAATTTTATAATTACTTAAAAATGTACATAATAAATGGGACTATTATTAGTTAAATCATATGGAAAACTAATATTTAGTTGGCCGGTCATTAAGATATGCTTCAATCCAGTATGGCATACTTTTAATTAAATTTATTAATATATTATTAGGAATTTAATTCTATTCTTTATGTGTCTTTTCAGTTCTGATTATAGGTGTTAATAATGGAATTCAATTCAGGTGATTAACTTGGTTAATTTTCCAAAATTTTGATTTTTTTTGTTTCTATCCATTTTTTAACATTTTTAGTAATGTGAATAAAAGCATTATTATCTTGAAATAAATAAATAAAATAATTTTGTCTATTATAATTATTATTTATAAATAAAAGCTTATATGATTCAAGTATTTAAATATAATCATGATGCTTCATTTTTCCATTAACTTTTACAAGTAGCCCTAATCTCTTTCCTAAAAAATAACTCCATATCTTCTCTTTATATTTTATTAAAGAAATCTTATTTTTAATATTAAATCTTCTTCAAACATGATCTGGATTATCATTTTTAAATGGTTTTCATTATTCCAAATAATTGATTTTCATTTTTTAATAGGCTAGTCTTTTCTTTTAATATATCAATTTAAATGATTTTCTTTTTATTTATTGCTAAGAAAAAGTTTAAATACTGGAATATAGAAAAAATATTAAATTCATGCAAATTTCTCCTTATAGTCTTAATAAAAACTTATAATTCAATTTTCTTTTTAAATTCATTTTTTATTTGTTATGATTATTTATTTTGATAATTTTTTTAGTGTTTTTTGGTATTCATAATTTAAAGGTTTAGAATAACTACTTTGTGGCTAAGTTTTCTTTACAAAAGATCTATTTAAAAAACTGGTATTTTTAAAAAAATCAAGTGTTTTAATAATGTATTTTTTTGTAATACCACTTTTAAAAAAACTAATAATCTGGTTATATTCAGTCTCTATTAAATCATACATTTTGCGAAGTAATATAAAATCCTATTTTAGTGATTAAATTTAATGTTTGTTTATAAATAGAATAATAATTATATTATTATTTATATAGATCATAGACTATCATACATCACATATATAACTCATACTGCTAAAATAGACCTAATTCAAAATATGAGTTATAGTAAAATTCTAAATAATATATATTTAAATTTACTTAATAAAATATAATTTCAGTTTATTCAAATTATTTGTAAATTGGTAAATTTAATTGTCAATTTACTATATACATGCCACCCAAATTATTTTAAGATGCCATAATTATAATTTGGGATGCCATAATTCATTCAGTTTATATATAATTTATTATGTAAAATGCTAAAATAATTTGGGATACCATAATTGAATTTGGAATTTTACATAATTATAGCGGCCTAAAATAATTTGGATGGCATATATAATTTACCGAAATTAACAATCTTTTTTTTTATTATCAATAAAAAAATAATTAATTAATATAAATTAAACTGTTAATTTTTATAATTTATAATTAAAAATATATAGATTATAGATAAAATAATAATTAATAAAAATAATAAATTAAATATAAATAATTATTAAAAAATAAAATATTGCGAAACTAATCAGATGATTTTTAGCCTGCATTATGCTTAATTTTGGCCGAAATTATACTTAATTTTGGCTAAAATATAACCTGAACCCTAAAACTAATATTTTAAAAATATTATCAATAAAAGTTAAAAAAAAAAGGATAAGTTAAATTTAAAAAAAAAGTACTAATTTGCTCAAATATAAAATATGACTTTGTAAAATCAATANGATAAATTTTCCGTGTCCCATTTCATAATTAACCATACTGTAGTAAGATGTTTATGTTACATTGATATATATAATTCAGGCCAACACTATAAATTGGCCTGAGTTAACATAAAGGCCATTCAAATCACCGACATTTTAATATATATATTTTAAACTAATGTAATACCTAAGCCCGCACGAATATTAAACCAAGCATATTATTGTATTTATTTATATTATTAATAAAGTATTATTTTGTCAATATCTAAGGTGGCAACGTGACTAATCACGGGCTTTGGTAACACATCTTTTTCAATTCGACATCTCTATATAATCACGAATTTGCCGATCATTTATTGACATTGTCACCTAAGAAAAGGTGACTATTTTATATAAATTCTACAGATCAACATTTACCGTTGGATCTGATCCATTTACGATTTATTGTCCAGATAGGTACCTACAAAATAAAAAAAGGCGGAACGTCCCAAAGCGACGTGAAACGATATTTCCTTTTTGGAAATTAATGTAACCAAAAATTTTCCTTAGGAATACTATTCATTTTTTGTTTGTGTAACATAACTTATGGGAGAAAAGCTACACAATTACACAATTCAAAGGAGTCTTAACGTGACACCACATGATTGCAATGATTTCAAATAATAGATAAAGATAATACAACAATATATAAAAAAAAAATATATATATATATAACGATATAGTATTTTAGGACAATACTCATACTGAATTTTAAAAAAATATTGTTAACACACAAATATGGTGAAAATATTGTCTGTATGAAAATTCTTTTGTATGTTGTGATGTTTCAGCCCCTAAAAAGTGTAACTAAAAATTTTACGTATTGTAGATCAATTACTAATTGTTTTTTCAAAACACGGAGACATGCGTAAATGCACACAATATTAAACATTTTTCAATCCAAAAGTATGAAAAAGTATAAATTAGCAAAAAATTTTCTTAAGACAAAAAATTAGAATTCAAAAAAAAAAAAAAAAAAAAAAAAAAAAAATACTATTAATATTAATAATATAAAATTTACTTCAGTTTTTTAAAATTTGAAAAAGCTATAATGTCTAAAATAAAATTTGCTATTATATATAAATATTGTAATACTAGAGATATGCTTCAGTAAAATCTATTCAATTTGTCATCTAATTTAATTAAAAAATGGATTATCTGGATTAAGAATGAATGGATTGCGAATAATCTGAATGGATTTATTAGATAATATTAGATATTTAAATTGATCAGATATTATACAAATAATCAGATTGACTGAATTGATCAAATAATCTGATCCAATCTGGTCTATTTTTTTAATATTATGCTTTTTTTTTTAAAAAAAAAAACTTTTTTCTTTAAGAACAGAATTTGAACTTAAACTTAAACTTCAAAATTTAACTTAAATAGCTTGAATTAAATGTAAATTTTTTTTTTTTTTTTTTTAAAAGAGACTTGGATTTAGCTTGGGCTATAAAGGTAAGGAGAAAAAGATTTTTATTTATTTTTGTCATTAGAAGTACAGTGCATACAACTTAGTCACAACAAAAAAATTTTTAAGCAGCCAAATTTAAAATATCGATTATATCACATGATATATTAAACTTGCAATTTTATTGGCTAGATTTATATAGTTTAAATTATAATTCTTAATTTTAGCCAGATTTATACGGTAAGACAAATACCAGTGATGTAGGGTCGACCACCTGTGTGGTGTATGGTGATATTTAGCAGTGTGTAACAGCGTGTAAAATAAAGGGTGTGAACCATACACAGGTGATGATTAGCATTTCGGCCCACTCCAAATCACGTGTTTGGCCCGTCGCGTTATTTATCACCTGTGTAAACTGTCACATAGGAGATCATACACTACACATCTCCTTAACCCTACACCACTCATCTCCATAGCACTCAGATTTATATAGCTAAAAGTAATTTTGGCCAGATTTATACATAATTTTGGTCAGAATAAAGTGGTTAAATATTTAATTTAATAGTAAAATATTCTAATTTTGAATTGCTACTACTTTATTAAAAAACATTTTATAAAAAATTTAAACCTATAACTTTATTAAGCTTGTTTTGTTTTATCATTGTATAGTTATATTTTACATTTATCATTTTTTTTAAATGAGTAGTAATGATTTGAATTTCATCAATTTTAGTTATTGTGATTAAGTTGTATGCACTATTGGGTTAACAACCCTGAAGCAAAGGAATTATTTGAATTCCTTAATCTTTTTTTAAACTACCTGATCGTCATACACTTGGTGGTGAAATTTTACAAGATGCTATTTCCGAAGGAGATAAAGCAATGCAAATTGCATTAAAAGAGGATCCAATTGGCATAACTCTCACATTTGATGGCTGGACAAACATAAAAAATGAATAATTATTAGGTATTGTAATTATGACATCAGAGGGAAGACCTTATGTATGAAAAGCAGATGATACTTTACAGAAACTTTAAGTTTTCAAGTGATATCATTTCAATATCATTTCAATATCGATTTAATATCGTATCGATATTAAATCGATATTAAAATGATATTGAAATGATATCAAAATGATACCGTTAAGATAAACTTAACGATATCAAAGAATTTGTATTTTTTTGTTTTTATTAATAATTTTATCCCTTAAACTGTAAGCAATTGCGGGCAAATTTGCCCGCAATTTTACCAAATTTCAGCTCTCATCTAATTTTATGAAAAATAAAGCAATTTTAATAAAATTTTTTTCCAAAATAGTTTAAATTATATATTGTGCAGCAATTATTATTATTTATTAATTATATATTAGAAAATCGAAAATTACCCATTGGTCAAAAGTTGTATTTTAAGATAATCACAAAATTTTAAAAAACTTTGCACTTAACTTCAATGATTTCATTGATAATTAATTATAGCTATATAAAAGCTTAATAGAATATGTAGAATTTGGTATGAGAAACGACTTTTGTTAATATGATTTTTGATATTTAAAAGTAGGATTTTGACTTTATATAGAACCTTAATGAAAATTTTATTATGCATTTTAATTATATATTCATAATAATTGATTTTTTTTTATCTCTATTTTGTTTATTATAATGCAAAATTTTTATAAATATTCAAATAGAGAAAAAATATGGTAAGAAAAGTTTAAATTTTATTATATAAAAATTCCGATACTATTTTTGCGGGTTAATTTCCAATCTAATTTTAATGATCAACTGTATATCTAACTCATACAATTTATGGCCAGAATGTAGATCAATTTGGCTGCAAAATTATGTGACGATCTGGCCAAAATCAAAGAATTTTTTATAGCGTCATTTATTCTAATTTAGAAATTGTGGGCAAATTTGCCCGCAAAACAGTTTAAGGGATAATATATAGGCGAAAATTAAGAATCTCAAATAGAGATATTGTTTTTTTACCATATTTCACGCACCAATTTAATCTTTGTATTGGTAAAATATTTAAAGAATTCACAGATTTAAAAACAACGTTGAATCATGCAATTCAACTTGCTACTTATTTTAGAAATGCTAATAATAAGTTCTTTATAGCAAAATTACGTGATCAGCAAAAAGAAACTTATGGTAAATATTATACAATTGCAGCTCTAGGAGAAACTCGGTGGAATAGTTATTATGAAGTATGTACAAGTCTTTTGAGAATTCAACAAGCTTTACAGGTAAATTTATAACTTAATGTTATTAAATTAAATGTAAATTAATTTTATTGATTATTAACTTAATTATTATTAGCTATTTGCAATTAATTTCAAACCACCATTTAATCAAACTCGAAAAAAAACAGATCAACCATGTATTAAAATAGAAATATTTGAAATTATCGATTCTAGCACAGGTCGAAAAGTGAAAAATCAGGCATCAATCAGTCACCAATCGGTCACCAATCAGGTACCTGATTGGTGACCGATTGGTGACTGATTGGCATTTTCGCCAAATACCGTCACCAATCAG